ATGGCATTTTTTTCCTGCTTGCATTTTAGCAGTATATGGCAACATGAAATGTCAAGATACAGACACAAGCTAGTAGTGATGTGTATTGCTCAACAACATTTATGGACTTTCATGCTCACATATAAAATTAAAGTCTCAGTCCTTGAATACCTCACATTAGGGTATATCATCTCAGGAGAACAAGATGTAGAATGAAGCAACCCAATATCAAGGAAAAGAAGTCAAGAGAGAAGACTGTAACATGAAAGGGAAAGAAACGCTGACTCCAAGCCATCTGTGACTCCTCATATAGCTATTGACTGGTTGACTGTTCAGAATAAGAATTTCCAAACCAAGTGGGACTAGAAGGACTGTAATGTTTACTGACTACCACTTCTCTTATAAAAGTACAGTACGATTTGCTACTCCAACAGCCCACAAATAAAGAACAGCTGACAGAACAATGACATTTTCGATGAGATCAGAACAGAAGGCTGCCTACAAAAATGCAGGCCGGAGAGGCAGGAAGCTCTGTATCTTTTAACATACCCGGCAACGTTTCTGAGAAGCTACATATGGCAACAGCTTAGTAATATATATTACTATAATATACTGATATGTTAAAGCCATCCACTTAAAGGCAAATTTAATGACAAGTGTTACATGCACTAATTTGACTAATTCAATCCACTAAACAAACATAGGTAGTAAAAGGATTATCACATTTCCCACAATTCCCAGTATCATTCAGATAAACTTTATATTAAAAAGAATTTCATCAATATATTATAGCAATTTGCTCTTCAGGCTTATTCAGTAACTGCCTCAGAGTATCAATGAAAAATCTACCAATTTCTTAAAAAAACCCAGAGTAACAACAAACTCTTGTTTTTAAGTACTTCTGCTTATGTTTAAGTTCCAAATGGATCATAAAATTCATGGCGCTAAATTGAAGGACAAAAGTTAGAAAGAAAGCTAGTCAACATTAAAACACCCCAACATATTTAAAGAAAAGAGATACTAAAACTCAGCCTGCTGAATGGGGAAAAAGCCTGTTGGCAGGGAAAAAGAATGCTGAAAGCAACAACAGGAGGGAAATAGGAGCTGTTAATTTTGGGATATGCTTCATTTAAAAACTGGTATTATAAACAGTTCTTCATTTTTTCTATACTACAAATGTTTGACTACTCTAGAAGACTGACCTGCAATAAGAAAACTGTGATATTTTGTTTGTCTGATGCAAAGTACTGTTCAAGTCAGCTATTCTTGATTAATAGCTTAGAAATCTCAGCCAAGTAAGACTTAGTATGTCTAAAAGAAATGAATGCACATAATTTGCATCTCTCCTGGCTAGGTGAAGTATGAAGTGGACTTCTATGGACTTGTGTGGTTGATGAAATACTCGATACCTTTAATTTTCAGTTCTAAAAATAAAGCCAAATTCTTCTTGAATGGAGGTACCAAAACAAGCTTCAATCTCCTTTATGCTCTGAAAATCATGCTATCCTTTTCTTTTGCACTGTCTCACTTTTACCAGTCTTAAAAAGAATACAAAAATAGTGTAACTTAGCCCCTGTTTAATGCTAACAGCTTATATAGTTACCAACGCTACAGAAAAAAAGAAAAGTAGATCCAAATCCAAATCTGAACAGCAGTATCACCCACATGCTAACTTTAACATTTTTGAGGAAATATGAATAGAATACAGAATTTTTAGGGTGTGCTGCTACAAAAAGAATCAGAAATATTACACATGGACTCCTCAACTGTGAGAAGTGAGGCAATTTTAGTTACTCTCTTTCATCACATGCTACAGTATCTCAAATGTGCTGTCACTTAAGACCACGCATACAGTTCGTTACCACTACTCAGTAAATAGAGGATGCATAAGGAACTGCTGCAACATTATTCTGCTTCAGAGCTTGGTATCAGAGAAGTGTTTCAGTGGCTATCTGCATCTTCTCCATTCTAATGCCAAAGTATTAGGTATGTCTAGTTTAAGATGAAGTTTCCTGAAAATAAGCGATTATGATGATAACCATGTAAGTGCATTGTACACCAGCTATTGCTAAGATTTCAGAAGTTCTAAAATACACTTGATGGTAGTTCCACAACTCCAGGATTTTTCTTGGGTTAGAATCACTTTTATACAAATTGACAGGATAATGGAGAGCTTCTGTCTTCATTATCAATGAAAAGATACTGAGAATGAAATTGTTAGATACAGTACTGCTTAGCTTTCTCCTAGACAGAACAGAAATGAAAAGTTTAGGTATGTTCAAGGTGTTTATTGCCAACTTATTGTCCAAGGACTTTGCTAGCAACAGGCACTAAACATAAGTGAGATTTTTATGGTGTAGGCATCAGGGTATGTTGTCTTATTTGAGGCATGCACTTTAGAAAAGAAGTCCCAACACTTCATGTGATCACTTTGGATGAGCACACAGTGACCTTTTAAATATAGATAATAAATAAGCTTCCCAGATAAAGAGAGATCTTAACATAAATGGGAGTTTTATTTCAAAGGCCAAATACAAAAGCAAAAAAATATAGATGCTTATGAATCAAATCAAAATGCTTTGACCTGAGTTAAACTTGCTCTTTCCTTTTCACTCCTTTGTTATTTTCTTCTCTTTATCTACAACAGTTCAAGTAGAAATATTATCATTTTTATTTTAACAATCAACAGAAACCAGTGCAACTTCCTAAATTTTGTTTCAGGAAAGTCTGATGAAGATACATTCAATCTGCCTTTGTAAGCTAAAACTACAAATCTGGGAGCAGCTAAATTATTTGTTCAAACAAACATGCCTAATTCTAGCAAAGGGTCTTTATGAGATTTTTTTTTTTTTTTTTCAACTGAGGAGGTGTTTTTATTCTCCTGGCATAGGAAACACTGCTGTATTCACCCTAAGGGACAACCATGGAAAACACTGCAGCTTTTGAAACCTGAAGATCATTTCAGGCCAGCTCTGTGAACCAGAAGTTGCACAATCTCTTGTGATATGTCTGCCTAAGTACGTGTATTATTGAGAACGACTTGCTTCTTCAGAATCTGAGACACTGGAAGGAAGAGAAGATTTCTACCTTCGGATTTAAAATCCAAGGTTAAATCAGGATGAGAGCCAGTTGGCAACTGTTCCCTCCTGGAGGGTTTTCAGGAATTTCCCCTGGCTAATTCATTGAACTGCCACAGAGTAAAATTAATAAGGGAAGGTCATTGAAAAGGTGATTTATGGGAAGATTCTACAATTGCGATTCCCAAGTGAGAACGCTAAATTAAGAGAACTACTTCCTCTCAGGGTTGCAAACAGTACAGCACCGTAAAAGGGGACAGACACTTCCTTAACCAAATGAACAAGGCTTTTAGCAGAGGTGAAGGTGCACAATGTTTCACACAGAAGAGCAGCAGCATCATTTAAAGCCCTCCACTCCCACCAAAGGCAGCGGAGCATGTCACACACCGAGCACAGAGAATCACAAAAATCCACTGTTTGCTTGGGGCAGGAGGGGTTAGTCAGACAAAGCACCTTAACAAAAGCAAATACACTGTTGGTAACTGTCAGTTCCATTAGCAGTAAAAACTTTAGGTTAGTGAATGAAAAGCTAATATGGATCTTTATGCTTTAACAAAGGCCTTTTAAATTTAAACTATCTATAACGTATGATGTAAATAAAATTATACTGCACACACTTAAAAGACAAGGATGTGTACTAACACTAGTGTTAAAAAATATGATATAAACTGCAAGTATGAAACATGATCTGTATACCTTGTTTATATTATACTTGTTTTGAACACAATTGAGCTGTTGCTAAGTTTCAGTATGATTCTCAGCGAATCAGAATAAGGGATGTAAAAAATTCCTGATCATCTACTACCAAGCGAATAGTAAACATTTTCCAATGAGCTTCTGCTGACATTTAAAAAAAAAAAAAAAAAAATCAATTAGGAATGACTGTTTCTGGCCAAGATACAGTAGAAAGCTGTTTCAGTGTCCAGAGTAAATGAGCAACAGATCAACTTACTGAAACCTAACTGGGCCTTGATTTGCAAAGTAACACCAGTGAAAAGCAGATTTTGCAATTTGCTTCAGAAGAGCTATCATAAAGCAGCCTCAGCTGAAACAGGAGTAACGTGTTCAGGATTCCATACAAACAGTAAATGCTTAATTTATAAGAAGAAAGGAGATTCTAGTGGTGTAAAATAAATACATGAAATGTGTCTGAAATGACTGAAAAATTGAGAGCACTGATAAAAACCAAAAGGCTGCTTATATTAAATAATCAACAAACTGGTCATAAAAATATTTCCATAAACATAATGAAAGCCCGAACAGTTTCAGAAGCCTGAGCACAGCTTAATCTCATCTTAGCTGTAGCCAAGGAGTAGAATTTTTGTAACAATGTGTGCAGGGCATTTACACAGCCAGGAAAATAATGCCTAGGTATTCAATTAATTTAGCATAAATTAAGTTAGGAAAGCAGCCTCATATATAATTATAATTAAATACAAACATGATGAAGATGTGCTATGGAAAAGAAAGAACATATATAAAAGTCACTGGGTATGGTTTTAAAAAAATATTTCTTAAGCATTTCTGAAAATTGAACCTCTAGCATCTTTGAAAAAGAAAGGCAGAAAGTGAACAGAATGTGGATTGGATTTAATCATATCAGTAAAAGTATCAAAGCAAAAATTAATGCTAATTCTGTAACGTGTAGTCCTTAACACTGAACTTACACCTCTTCCATGTCCAGAACTCAGTGAATTTCATACATTTCATAGCCTTTAAATTGTGATTATTACTTTTGGTTTCTACTAAATTATCTCTTACGAAGAAAGCAAATTTCTAAATTATTTTTTTTGCTGTATGTTAAAAATCAAAGCAAGCTGATGACAAATAAGTGGTTTCTTATGTTTTAACTACAGTTTGCTTTCATATTAGAAAACAGAAATAAAATCGGTTTTCAACTTCTCAAGCTTTTCTGTACAAGCAAAACAGTAAAGAAAAGGATATTTTCCTGGAGTTTCAATACCCACTCTGTAGTCCACGTAACTTTGATACGGATGGAAGTTGAAAATAAAAATGAGACCTGCTCTCTCAAATGCTATGACCTTATTGGATTCATGCTTTTCACTCACATAGGCCTAGGGAAAAAAAAAAATCCAATACTATAAAATATTTAATTTCTACCTGAATTAACAAGAAAAAAATACTGTTGCTATGCCTCATTGTGAGTAAAACAGTCGAATATCCAAGCAACATACATAAGGGCATTAACATGTAAACTGAAATGGTTTACCTACATAATGTCATATAAAAGTTTTGATTACTAAATGGTAGCTTGCTTTTCGAGGTAGAAGCACATTAGATATAGAGCACTTGTTTTTCTTTTTTTTTTTTTTTTTTTTTTTTTTGTTTGTTTGTTTGTTTTTTTAATCTGTGTGAGGAATAGCTTTGATAAATCACATTAAACTCCTGCACTTACCACATCTGTTCTGTTTGGTAAAGCCATTCATAAATAACTAGACATACATTAAAAAAAATTCTTTAAACCGGATTATAACTTGTATGAAATAATTAAACACTGAGAAATTATAATAATTGAGTTGCTTTGATAAAAAGTACAGTGCAATATTTGGGTAAAAAAGGCAAACACAAAAGTGACAGGTTGAAGACCAGGAGACTATAACTTACACTATACTCTACTGGAAGTGTTTTCTCAGTAACAGAGTAATTATTTATATAAAGTAAATTGTCAGAACGATTTACACTTTCCCAAAGCAATCCTTGGATTGGACTACAGACAATTTTATAGTCTGCTTTATCCAATCTGCAGTTACTAAATAAAAATAGCAAAAATAATAGAAAAAGAGCTTGCTATCAAGCTAAGAGGAGACTGTTTCAGATTTCTATTATCTGCGGAAGATACTTCAGTGACATGTTTTGACAACTTGAAATATACGGTGGGGCATTACGCAGTGCATAATAAAGTGCTGTTTAAAATTTCTGCATGCAAATTTGGTATTATTGTTATTCTGAACATGTACCCAACTGGTGACTAAAAACTTATCATTTAGTTTATACAGCTTACCGGGGGAGATGCAAGCCAGCCAAATTTTTCCTCCCATTTATTCATATCTCTATCAAATGCATTTAGGAATCTATAGCGAAGAAGATGATCCTCAGTAAGATTAAACTGTCTTCTGGCATAGTGGTAGCTCTCATTATTCCCTCTTCTGGGGAAGTCAAGCCATTCTGGATGTCCAAATTCATTACCTGCATTTAAAAATATTAAGGATCTGTGAAATCATGTGCTAGAAATACACTAAACCCACAGAAGTAAAATACATAAGTATACTTCCTTTCTACAAGTTTTAAATTCTAAATAACTTTCCTCATATATAAATTGGTCATTTTATTATTAAAATGTCTCAGAACTTTCATTCTTGTTAACAGGTTTGTTTGGCCAATAAAACTACCAGAGCAAAATATCCACAGACTCCAGGGGAAGTATAAAGTACTGAATGAATTATAACCTCTATGCTATCATGCCATGCTTAAAAATTTATCATTCCCGTCCTTTAATAAAGGCAACAGAAATTCAGTCAACCAAGATACAAATTTTACAGTTATTATGAAACCTAAAAATATCACTTTGACAGTAGAAAGCCATTGTTTTAGAGCACTTAACAGAAATCAGTGCTACAATTCACATAATCACAGAGACAGAAATCTCTTCTCAATTAAACTTCAAACAATCAAAAGACCAGCTGGATGCACGTTGACCACTTATTTTGACTTTTTATCCTCACTATAAATATTGTTGTTCTTGTTTCCAGTCATATAAAAATAACAATTAAAAAAGATGACTTGAATCTTGGTTCCTAATCTCCTAGAAAGATTCAAAAAGACATCCTAGTTCAAGTAGCAGGCTAGATTACAGAGAATAAAGTACAACACTTAATGACGATGCATTCAGTATTTGATATGAAAACAAATAACTTGCAGGGTATGACAACTCAGGGATATAACTGTATCCATCAATTCAGCAACCTTGCAAGGGGAGCTCCTTTTCCAAACATAACAATCAGTGTCAAGAGCACCAGAGACACCTTCCAGACTGGGATGAAGATGATTGAGCCCTGGGTTCCTGTGCCTGCTGGTTCAGGTCCCTTTGTGTGTGTGCAAAAGCCACTGTATTTCAATTTGGTTTTCTATAGCAGTAATGCTTCACAAGTTTGTCAGCCTCATCCTGATTAACTAGTCCACACAACTACTGAATAGACTTCACTTTAAGAAAAGGAATAGGTTTATTCAGACTTCGATCAACCTCCATTAAAAAAGAAAAAGGAAGGAAAAAGGTTGTAATGTAGTTAAGAAAAACCTTAGCTTCTCTTATGTAGAATCTCCAAAGCAGATCTCAGCTGTCAAAGCTAACGATTCGCAGCAACACCTCATTTGGGACTCAATATTTTGAATTACTCATGTATCCAAGGTTTTCTTGTTTTTTATACTGGCATTATTACATTTTGAGACAAAACCAAATGGACTTAATGGTTCTAACTTGTCCTATAATCTGCTGCCTAGCAGACTCTCAGTCATTTTGGACTATTCATTTTACACAGGGTTAAAATGTGTTAAGTACCTTGCAAGTTAAACACACATTTCACAGCCTATGACACTTGATTCATCACCAACATTTCAGAGATTACACGTAACACCTATTCACCATAAAACAGAGACAACAAGTGGTGTACCTGGAAACATGTATGGAAAGTAATATGATCAAGTTTAAGAGGGTTTCTATTTTTTTTTTTTTTTTTAAAAAAAAAAAAAAAAAAAAAGATCCTAACATTTCTACAAGCAGTTACTCAGGTTTTGTCAATAAACTGGAGGTCTGTGGGCAGATGAAGGGCAGGGATGCTGAGAGAAGGCAAGCGCTGTTTCCTGGATGGATACCCTGCGTGTGCAGCCACCATCTGCTGTCTCACACAGCCTGCGCTGCCTGGAGGGCCTGGAGGATACAGTTAGCAGTGACAGCTATGAATTTAGATTTTCAAAGTAATTTTTGTATATTTCCATGCTTCATGGGAACAAAGAAATGAACGGAGAACAAAAGAGAAAGGCTGCATATATATTTAGGAGAATCCTTCACTGTTCTACCTGTTTTGTAAACAAACTGACAAGTTGTAAATTAAATTTCCCATTCAAAAGCTAAGCCACTAGATTTCATATTCAGCTCAAAACCAGAGACAAATATAAAAGAATCAGAATCACAGCAGGACTTTGAAAATGACCTTGGAATAATGCTGGACTGAGCTCTTAAACTGTACTAACAATACAGTATGGAAAATGAGGAAAGACACTGCTACAAAACAGACACTGTATCTAACCAAATTCAATATTCTCTTAAGAGCTGGGCAAGGTATTACCTTCTTTTGTGATCTGTGCACTATTGAAAAGATAGACTACATGAGATAGCTCAGTTAAAAATAGCAAAAAACATCAGAAAGTCAGAGATGATAAGTATCTTGAAAAGATAGCCAAGGAAATTGTACCCATTTGCTCAAGAAAAACATAAAAATGGGGGAAATAAGCAATAGAAGATAGAGAATAAATTAGACTAAACTAGCACATCGTTTCAATAGAGTATTTCACTGTAAGTAGAGTGTATCTCCTTCGTGTTTATACCATATACTGACTTTTCCACCTCCCCTCACTTTGTCTATATCCCCACCATAGTAACTAGTATTGTTTGAATGCTGTTTTTTGTTTGTTTGTTTGTTTTTTTGTTTTGTTTTTTGTTTTTTTTTCAAAGAACAGTAGAAGTGCAGCAAAATACAAAAGTAGTGTTAATTTCCTAACTATTACTTATAGCTATTAAGGGACAAAGGAATTTAATACAGTGCAGCAACTTGACCGAAGACTAAATTACTTGCTGATGCCAGAAAAGTATGTTGAACATCTAAACACTGACTGCTCACACTTTAAACATCTGTTTCCACTGACAACTTCTGAACAATCTACTCATGAGCCTTTTATACAGGTTGCTTGATTTTAAAAGGGCCTCTTGATTTTTCTTTATAGAAAGAAAAATAGAAGTTCATAAATTATGACAGAACGAATTCAAGTAGGCTTTTTTAATTATGTTTTCAAGATGCGGTATAGGGAAAAAGAACTAATATTTAGGATGCAGGCAGGCCTTCCAATAAAACTCCTGAGAGTGCTTCTACAGTTGAGACACATTAAGGCTATGCATCCTTTAACAAGAATACATATACTACATTTTGGTTTTAATTGCTCTTTTTTTCTGGTTCGATTTTATAACAAATGAGGGGAGGGTCTGGGAAAGGGAAGGTATGGGTAACTGACCAGCACTTAATTCTGGAGATAACTAATGGTACCTGTGAAGCATGTGCTGTCCCCCATCCCCATGTTCCACTTCTCCTTTCTAACAAGAATCAGCAACATTCACTTCTTGACAATTGCAAAAGCCTCTAAGCATAGAATTACTATTGGGATTTCTTTTCCTGTAATTAATTTTCTGTTTGATATAAAGGTCCAAACTACAGATTGACAAGAAGCCAGATGCTACAAATAATGCAAATCAAGACAATGGAACTAATGTGGAGGAGGCAGAGAACAAAGCTGAAATTAGCTGAAATTTTGATTAGAGAAACAAAACAAAGACAAATCATTGAAATGCAATGCATACTAATTTATCTAAGAATTAATTCAAGTTTGCTATTTCCTAAATATTGCACATATTGGACAACTTTACTATGTACAAGATTTCAAGATCACAATTCCAACAAATAAATTAACTTCCTATTACAATAATGAAAATTTACATCACACTTGTTTATTAGGCTAGAAATGCATTTACACCACAAAGTAGTTACGCTGATGATGATTGCTTTGAAGCTGTGCCCCACAGATCATTAAAGTTTTCTTGATCTCTCTTCTTTAGACATCTTTACTAGCAATTCTCTCTCAAATAATCAGGCTAAGCAGAGCTGAAGGCATACTTAAAAGATGCAGCAGGCAGTGTCAAGAGATGTCTGTTATTTTGGTTTGTTTGTGTTTTGAATTAAGTATGACATTAAATACTTTTAAATCAGTTAAAGCAAGCTGTTTATTTGATACATCAAAGGTGAGAAATTAATTAGGTGTATAAGGCTGAACAAGTTTTTAAATGATCCAAAATTCTATAAAAAGATCCCGTTTAAAGCTGATGAGCTGGAGACTGGACACATTGGGACAGAATTTCAACAGTTCCACCTTAATATATTTCTATCAAAGTGGAGTCGCCAATTTACACAAGCCAGATAATCAACCCATCCAGTAGTTGTAACTGATTTGAGTTTAACTTCAGTACCTTTGTGAACAATGACAACAATGCGACAATCTGCAGATTACAAATACAATCAATGCAAATCAGATCTAGATAGCATACGATATTTATCATTACTTCAAAAAATAAACATTTTAAACAATTAATCCTCATCTTCCCTAGCTGTAAAGCTCTTGGATATTAAGCAATTCTGATACTTCATATTTACTGATGTTTGTACCAAATCTTCTTCTTCACATTCATATTGCCAAAATCAAGTAAGGAACTCTATACTGCTTTCTAATTATGAGAGAATGAGCTTCATTACAAGCATTCATTTAATTTTGTCATCCATGCAACAATATAATAAAGTGAAATTCCAAATGGACTCCTCCTGAAACACAGTGGCATATTGGTCTAGAAACAACTAACAAAATCAATTCAGGCAAACAATTACATTGTAATTCCTGCAAACACAGGCTGGAGGAAATCTTACACATGAGGTAATAGTGAAGAGAGAGGTATTGGTAAAGCCAGATCTGTGAAAGAAGTATTTTTCTCCCATTTTCTGAAAATACCAGATATTGTCTCCTTCCAATCTATGATAAGACAAAAATCAGGATAAATACTGTATTGTCCTGGGTTTGAGTGAGTGGTGGGGTTTTTGGTAGTGGGGGAGGGGGTTATAGGGGTGGCCCCTGTGAGAAGCTTCTCGAAGCTCCCCCAGCTCCAAGTCAGCTCCACCTCTGCACCAAAACTGAGCCAATCAGCTGCGCCTCTGCGATAACGTATTTAAGAAGGGACGTGGGAAGAGGAGTTGGGAATTGTGAGGAGAAGTTGCAAGGAAGACACCTATGTGAACACCAGGGTCAGTGGAAGAAAGGAAGAGAAAGCTGGGGGGAGGTGTGCCAGGGCAGAGACCCCCCCTGTATCCTGTAGCAAG